CTGTGGGTGGAATGCTTTGGGGTTCCTGGGCTAAGGCTGGATCGGTCAATTCAAACCAAAAGAGCAGGGTATTTGTAAGCCCCACAGGGGTCTTATCTAAGGGGCACATAAGGCATACAGGTGCCAGAGGCAGGAGAAACTGTTGTTCACAAGACTGTTGGGGAAGTCCTATCAGGAACTTACACTTCCTTGTGACTCTGCAGGCTGTATCCAGGGGCATGCACCTGCATGAGGGGCTAGTGTCAGTTTAAGGTCCCTGCGGGCCACCTGGCCAAACAAAATGGATGCCGAGGCAGCAATACCATGGACCAGCTTAACTAAATTCTCGACAAAATAACATATTATAACATATAAATATAACATTACTCTCTCAGTAATCATAGCAATTACTGGGATTTGAGGAGGCTTGCAAGAAACTAGCAGGATGATGTAAGCCCTGAAATAAATCTTGTCCAGGAAGGTGTGATGTGTTACCAACACAAGCTGGATAGTGCTTACAGAAAAGGGCATTTGCACTGTACTCTTAATACTTATCTTTATTATGAAAGTGTTTCCAACGTAAAATGATCCTCATAATAATGATTGCTTCCAGAGATCAAGAATGAATCATTATATTTTCATATAAAAATCAGCAAAACACAATAACAATACATAAAATAATTCTAAGTGGCTAACAGTACATCATTCCGTTTCTGACAGAGATGCTCAAGCACTGAATTGTCTGAAGAAAACAAGTAAGGTTTTGTCACCTATCCTAATTCTCACTGCAAGTTGAAAAAAATCAAATCCTGAAACTAACCACCTCCCCCTTGCATGACAACAAATGGCTATGGAGGTAACTGATTACACAGGCAAACAGAGAGTTGATGAAATCATGAGCTTAGAGGCTTTATGAAACTTTTGGAAATCAAACTTGAAGGGTGTTTTCCATGTTTAAATTAATGAAACTCTAAGTTAAAATTCCCGAATTGCCACATAACTGTTCCTATTACAGAGCTCATTTCTCTTTGGCAACTAATCTTTAAAAATCCCTAATGTTTTAAGGGCAGTTTTACGATGACAGTTGAAAAAATTACTGTAGGTCCAAAAAAACAATTTCTCTCTATAAAATCTAACTTTTCACTTAACATAGGAATCATACCAACAGCTGTTGTTCCCTAGTTTCCAGGCCACATAATACATACCAGAATAGGAAGCCAAGCTTTGTGGACCTGTTTTAGGGAAAACAGGTTCACAAGGGCACGATACTTATTAAGAAAAATATAATCAGGCAGAGAAGAAAGTGTGGCATGCAACTGATCCAAGGCTATCGGGATATCAATAGCAGAGAAATGACAATATTCTGGATTCCTTTTATCAAGACTTCCAGTAGGCTGAAAGGAATGTGAGTGAATGAGATAAACAAGACAGACTGTAGGCTAACAGTCCCCTCTCATCCTTCCTGGGCAATCTTGAGGATGCCTAGTCTTGTGCAGACACCATATGATATGCCATCTGGCTAAAGAGACTTTTATTTCTTTGATCCGATGGGGTCCTAGCTTGTGGCCATTCGGTAATGCCTTCCTTCCAAAGGCTTCAGGTTGAATTCAAGTTGGAAATACCTGGAAAAGACTAAGGTTCTTCTTTGGGTGTCTGTAGATCTTATTAACAGTTACTTATGATGTTTTATGTTCTCTAATACAATTTTCTCCATGAAAACCAGCATCTGGTATGCTCCCTCTGAATATGTATTAGAGGAGTTCCAACAGCAGAGTGGATAGGTCTCCTCAGCATCCACTGAGCGCCCCCTAGGGGAGGGGAGGGGACCGTGCACCAAAGGCAAACCACAGGGCCCTTTTCTGGCCTATTGCTATGAAGAACTAAAATGTGGCTGCAGTGAACCAGTGCTACTTACTGTCTGGCAATTTGAGAATGGCACAATTTCATTTTACTGACTCTGGGGACAACAATATCTTCATTTAAAAAAAAATCTTGCTGCATTTTGCATGACTTCAAGAACTATTTATGATTACTGAGAGTATTCCTTCCACAGACAGCATGCTAGACAGCAAGTACAATCACCAGAGCTAACAGCACTTTCTCTTTCCATACAAGTTACTTAGAAACTGAAAGTGCCTTGTCATCAATTTCTCATCAGACTGACTTGGATCTGATTTGATTTTTTTCTTCTTTGAATGTTAGAAACATTTCAGGGCTACTAATATTTATCTACAAGCAGAAATCAGCCAAAAAACAAAGAAAAAAATGTAAGCTAATTAGAATCTTAAGACCTCACATATCACATGAAATGTAAACATTTAACCTTTTATTTCCAAAGGATTTCTTGAAGCCTCTCTGGACATAATGGTATCAACACACATACTGATAAAGAGACTCTTTTAACACCTTTGGAATTATTCCATACACTTTTTATACTTCAAATTAAGAAAAAATACTCAAATATTCAGGCAACTTTGGCATTAATATTTCTAAGAGAGGGACAAAAATAACTATAATGCAAAATCATGAACAGATTGGGAACAATCATGGATGTCCACAAAGTTCTCTCAAAAGAGCTTTTTTGCAAAGACTCAGCTAAGCTGAAATGAAATCTCATTTTTCACTTTGGCCCAAATAACAATGAGGTTGAAATACACAGTGGATGATTCAGACCCTTTCTACCTAAGGTGAAAGCATCAGTTTGCTCAAATTCAAACTCTATCAAATACTCAGAATGGAAAGTTTGGCAACAGAACTGGACACTTTGAGGCTCACCCACCATTTTGACTAAAGGTGATCTGATCTTATCTCACTGCAGAGTTATTTCTCTCACCCAACTGCTTGCTTTCTTTGGAGAGCCTACTTTCCTTCCTCGTTCATCTTTGTCAGGTGCCTGTTCCATTACCTGATGGTACCTCAGGACATCATCTGTCTAGTACCCTAGCAAGAGTTGGGTGTTAACAAAATCCTACGTGAAGCAGCAATCATATGCATTTTTTCCAACATATAGTTTAATAATCCAAAATGCTGATAGTTGCTCCCCTATTCTCAACATTCATATGACTAAATTTGGAAATGAAAACTGCATTTGGCTTATATGCTGACAGGCCCTCTACAATCTGAACTCCGCCATATTTAGTTCTGAGGCTGAGAGGCTGAAAGGATTCTACCCCTCTCTGCATGTGGGAAGCATGAACAGGAAGTTGAGAGGGAGGCAGAAGTTTCTATTGTACATGGTGGATGGTTTCTACGAAAAGAAGATGGATAAGGATGAGTCAGTGATATTTTGGTTTTATCACGTTTTTGGAGGAACATACATGTACATACATAGATCACACACTTTTATATCATTTTTTGACCCAAGGCCAAATTCTACTCGATTTTCTTTTTCCCCATTAAGAGATCTAGAAAAGCATTAGAGAACAATGTTTTTATAACATTAGAGAATAAAATATTACTTTTTCTAGACCCCTTCCTACATACTCCTTTATACCCTGGGAAGGTTGAATGTGACAGGAGGAAGGAGATATCAATGGAGGCTAAGTTAATTAATGGGAAACAACACTTTCACTAACCTACAGTTGAATTTACAAAACACACTTCCAAAGCTGTGGCCTGGGACAGGTAGAAGATAAGAGATTTCACATATTTTTCTCCCTTAGGCTTATCAGGCCACCATGGGAAAGCAGTAGACAGAAAGATACTATTCTTCCCCTTAAAAGGCCTACAAACACCATTTTGATTAGTCAAAAGGAACTCTTTGCTTTAAAATGAAAAATGAAATAAAAATTGATACATAGAAGGTTGTGTTAAGTTAATGGCATCGGTCAGAGAGGCTCTGAGTATTCCCAGTCCTCTTTCTGAGCGATTTTTGGGCAAAACAAAAGATTATTTAGATTTGTCTTTGCTAAGGACAGACTCAATTTACTTCATTTTATGCAACTCTTCTAAACTCTTCCAAATTTTTCATTTACAAGTTGATTTTTTGAAATTATTCTTCTGTTTTAAAGAGTGTCAGATGATCCAAATTTGAACACATGTGGTTCTCTGGTTTATTTCACCCATCGAGAGGACTTGCTCCAGACGCCAAAGCAAGGTATACTTCACTCTTCTGTTCCATATTTTAGTTGAAAAGAAAAGAAACTTTTACCTTCTCAAAATTTTTTAGCTATAACATGCTGGCCGTTGCTTTTTATATATCTGCATTTTAGCAGATGTTCAGATGACTACAAGTACTTTCGATGTTTTATGATTGGTCTTACAAATTCAAACCATACACAAATTACACTTCTAGACATATCCATGATTTGTGAAATGAAATCATAAAGCTTTAAAAGAAGAATTAGTTGCACTGTTTTCTCAATAAACAAGCAGACATATTTCCAAACCTCTTCAACTATTACTAGGCACCATACCAGAAACATACCATTTTGTAAATAGGTGGGGAAAGATTTAATATTACAGTGTGAGGTTTTTGTTTGGGAGCATTTTTTTAAACTATTAACTCACAGGTTGTACATTGTGGGCACAAAGCTTTTAATTTTTTCAAAAAATCAAATTGAATGTGAATGGCTCAGAGCACGACATGCATTCTCTAGTATTTTACTGTTGTCTTCAGGATGACCTGATTCACACATTTATATTTCTGCATTGTGGTTTTGGACTCTTTTAGATGATGGTCTTTTTGATTTATGAAATATTTATAATACCATTTTATTCCTTCTTACTAAAAGTTGGAAGAAAAGAGATAAAATCTTTGGTTTGTGTGTATGTTTTTCTTATCTACACATACATAACACTGCCATGGAGGAGACTATGGAAACTTATTTTCCAGTCATCTTTATCATTGCTGATATTTCCATTGTCCAGTAGAATTTTTATTGTTTTTCTGGAAATAGCTTTGTTTGAACAAAAATTCCTGGAAACTGAACAAGTCTTTAAAGAAGCAAACAAAAGCACTTCGAGTGCAACACTGAGAGACTGTAGAGAGATTCTAGTAACAGGAAAGTCATTCTGGGAAAAGGCAAAGGGTAAAATAGTCTTTCTCCCAGTGGCTTTATTTTGTTCAGAGAAAGAAAAACATCAATAGCAAATACTAGATAGGGCACTTTCTTGAAAGCTGGTTCCAATAGAGTGCTTTGCACTAGAGGTGACCTTTGCCAACTCTTGAAAGTCTCTTTTTTCTGTCCCAAAATATACTTAGCTTCTTTTCTTCAAGACATGATAGAAGACTGTGCTAATTACAGGGGTAGTGGTAAAATCTGGTTGAAATCAGCTGATCTCTTTATGATTTTCTCAGATCACAGGGCAAAATCCCAATATTAAGAGTGATTTTTTTTTTTTTGCTTATAACTATGACCTTAAGCAAATGTATTTCTCAGAGCCAGAGCACTGACCTCATAATTGAGAATAAAAAAATCTCTGTAACCCACAAGGTTAATTCCCAACTAGCTACCACACCCATTGAAGAAATCCTGGCTGTGTACACAAGAAATGAAGTCTATTCCAAAGCAATTTAATACAAAACAGTTTTTAAAAAGCCCTCCAATAACCATACTCTTTAATGTGAACTGCTAATTGACCATGAAGAGTGACAATTAAAAAACCTAGCTCATCTTGTTTAAACTTTATACTGGGAGAATGGTGACTGAGACTGTATAGGCCATTTCATAATGGGCACTAACACAAAGAAAGCAAACCCATTGGGAGCTGCATCAGAATCTTGTGCTGGGTTTTGATTGCTCTAAGAGACCAATTAAGCTGATGCTCCTAGCAGACTGAGTTACAGCAATAGGAAAGAGTAGAAGCAGATAGAGCATCTCCCTCACTGTTATGTACCCAGAGAGTAAAAGGAGTGAGGAAACCCTCTTTTGTCCACAGATTTACAAACAAATACAAAAAATAAATAATATTCTAAGACAGTACAAATGCAAATACTGTTCCCTTGTGTCAATTACATACAGCATGCCTACATATAGAGAATGGTAATTCTTCTTCATTCACAGACAGAACATATGGCAGTGCGCTATTCAAAATGCTTTGACAATCCTAATTTTTGTTTCTGGTGCTGAGATATTATGAAAGGAACTGCATTTGCAACTCATTAAATACTTCCAGGAACAAACAGTTCACTTTGTTCGGGACTTCTAGTTTTGAGGAATTAATCATCCGCGGAGCAAGGGCCGGTCAGGAGATACCCGTTGGTACCACTGGTCCCATTAGTGGTGGTCGCAGTGTGGAGGTTCTTCCCTGGAGGTTCCGAGTCTTCCTCATCTGAGCTAGACTCAATATCACTTCGATCATCCTTGGACACCTAGGGAAGTCAAGAAGAAGAGTGTAACCAGCTCCAAAGGAATCATCAAGATATGCAGAAGCACATGCAGTCATACATGAAGGGAAACAGATCCAAATGTTAAAAAATCAAAGATAGGAACACTGCCATGGTAATAAGTGCCCTTTCACTGGAGATAAACAAGTTGGGCGACAAAGTCAGTGTTCAAGGAATGTACGTGGATTTAGGCATCATAGGGGGCTGGACTTGCTGACCTCTTTAAGGTACCTTTCTTTCTTTCTTTTTTTTTTTTTGTGAGGAAGATCAGCCCTGAGCTAACATCCATTCTAATCCTCCTCTTTTTGCTGAGGAAGACCAACTCTGAGCTAACACCTATTGCCAATCCTCCTCCTCCCCACCACCCCAAAGCCCCAGTAGATAGTTGTATGTCATAGCTGCACATCCTTCTAGTTGCTGTATGTGGGACGTGGCCTCAGCATGGCTGGAGAAGTGGTGCATCAGTGCGCACCCGGGATCCGAACCCGGGCAGCCAGTAGCAGAGTGTGCGCACTTAACTGCTAAGCCACTGGGCTGGCCTTTAAGGTACCTTTTGATACTGAGAATGTTCTAGACCATGAATCCCACTCTTATTGGCAAAGTGGCATACTGTACTACTGGAATGGCTTTATAGGAATCTGATATAAATGGATCAATTTACTCTCTGATGATCACATTCTCCTTGAGAATCATTTAAAGTCAGCTCTCAATTAACCACACTAATGGAGATATTCACTAGCTCAGATGATTAAAACTCACTCTTATTTGGCTTTGTAATGCATTGTTTTATGAGTTAATTTGTTTTTCTTTTCTGTCTGATAGAATTCAGCAGAAATTTTGTTTTATATACTACATCACAACTAATGGCAGCAGGAGGCATTTTGGAAACCTGCTGAGTGAGGTCTAGTTTAAAATATTTCTCAAGGGCCGGCCCTGTGGCTTAGCGGTTAAGTGTGCGTGCTCCGCTGCTGGCGGCCCGGGTTCAGATCCCGGGTGCGCACCGACGCACGGCTTCTCCGGCCATGCTGAGGCCACATCCCATATACAGCAACTAGAAGGAGGTGCAGCTATGACATACAACTATCTACTGGGGCTTTGGGGGAAAAAAATAAATAGATAAAATATTTCTCAAGAAAAATCTACTGATTGATCATCATGAATTGGCTCTTGCCATTCCAGGGTTCTTCAATTCTCCATTCAGACTTATTAAGTAAGGAGGATGGCAAGATAAGGCACCAGGAAATAAATCTACACCTTACCATAAAGAATGAAAAAAGTCATCTGGTCTAGCAACGAAGTAATTTAGGGAGAAATTAAGGAAATACTCTACTGCTTTTAAAATTAAAATAGTTTGAACCTCCTACTCTGTAAGTCTAAATTATGGTAAGCATTTTTACTCAACAGGCATAAACACTCTTGAGTGATCACTGTTTACCCATTTTCTATTTGGGGTGGCAGTAGGGACCTGGTGGCCTGGCTTCATGGAAGTTTCCCCAATCCAGTTGCCTGTGATTCTCTAGGAGGTGGGTTGGGCAGGTTGGCAAAGTCCCCTGGGAGGTACATGAGCATTAACTGGGGGCTCTTCACATCACATGCTCTCTGTGTTACCACTACCTCCCAACTTGAGAACCTTGGAATCCACTTCTCTCCCACGTGGAGAAGCCACCATTACTGAGAGAATGTCATCTCTGTCAGGTGGGTGAGGACAAGAGAAAGTAAGAGCTGAGAACTGCTGCCCCATTCTAACCAGAGACAACTGAGTAAATATCGTAAAAATGGACCTCACTCCAATGCCCCCGGAGATGAGACTGAACTCACAAAGATGATCTCCAAGAAGACTTGGATACTGAAACACCAAAATGACTAGATTATAAGGATACTTTAATTTAAAAAAACATGGGTCACAAAGAAGGCATTAGAGTAAAGCTCCACTACATTTACAAATTCATTGGTCATAAATTAAGCTGCTAATAGGAAAGAAAACTCCAGCTTCAGAGAGTGATTAATTCACATTTGCATGCTTAGTAGATTATTTTTAATTGCATTGGAAAAAAAATCTATACTTATGTTACCTTCAAAGAAAGGAACAATTCATAATATCACAAAATAACCCACAGGAAAACAGAATCCATAACCCATGGCCAAGATGAATCCTACTGTCCTAGGTGAGCAGCAATGGCAGTTAAGATATTCTGAAGCCTGAGATCTGGAATAAATTGATGATCATCTTTTTGTAAAATTGAAGAAGTAAGTTGGAGAGAAGACGTCTGGTAGAAATATCAATGCAATAGGACACAAGTAATCTCATCCACGGTGTCCTTGCATCTTTAGTCATTGCTATTGTACTGAGAGTATTGTGCATGTTGATTTAATTTCTATTCAAACGAGGATAGGAGAATTTTTTAATAGAAATATGTGCCTATTGTAAAGAATAAGAGGTCACAGAGAAAAAATGAACTTTTGCTTCTAGACAATTAATTGATTAAAATATTTTGGATTTATATAGGAGCTGACATTGAGAACTGGCTTCACAGTGCATGACTAGGTGTCCTGAGCCCCTCTGTGGAAGTGGACAGCTCTGTTTATCTCACTGAGGACAAGATGATCAAGTGGTGCCCTGTGGCCCAGGGCACACCAGGCAAAGAGCAGATGCTCAGGCCTCCATTCCGGACCACGTTCATCCTCTCCCCAACTTAGTTCTCTTTCTCCTACTTCACTTCGGTTTATTTCTGTTTTTTAGCCAACATGTTAAGCACCAATGCAAGAAATTCTTCTCCTTCTCTGTTGGATCATGCAAAATTTAGCAGAATGCAAGCTCACACAAAAGGGCATTAACTGAGCTGTTCCTAGTATCCCTTGCAGCTGGTGGGAGCCACACCTCAGTTAGAGCCTCAGGTCAGTGCCAACTGATTAGACAGAACAATATGCATGGAAAGAAAAGTATCGGAATGCCCCTCTAACAGGCTAAAGTGGCATCCAGGACAAGGACAGAGAGAGAGAGATGTGAGAAACTTACATGTAAAGGGTTCCACTTCCCAGCCTTCCAGGGTGGCAGAAGGAAGAGAACAAATAACGAAAGTAAGAAAATGTCACAGAGAACATTCCGGAAAAGTCATTGCTCTACACAGAGGGGTTGAGGCTCAAGAAACTTTATTTAAATCAGCCTCATGAGTCCATTTTTAGCCAAAGGGATTTAATTAAATTTTATTGGGAAAGTCATAAATGGGCATATTGCATAAAGCAACCCTTCTCATAAAAGGAAAGAAGTTATTAAATTTCTGTTCAGTATAAGTATAATCAGAGAAGGACCAAGGGAGACAGAAAGAGGGAGAGAAAGAACACAATAAATAACATATCATCATTAAATCTAAAATTATAAATGCAGATCATTGGGAATCATCATCAGCAAAGCAATGTTACAACTTAAAAACAGTGAACTAAATAGAAGGAAATGAACATTTATTTTGTATTTCCAGGAGGTTATGCTAAATTTTGAAGAAAAAAATACCAGTTTTGATGAAATTTGAAATAATAAATAATATTCTTATTGATTCAGAAGAACAAAAAACCATAATTTTCTGGGACATATTAGAAAGGGTGAGTTTTATCTTACCTTGCCTTTTGAAATAGCTTTGCAGGCTATTTTTACGATCAGGTAAGACCAGAAGCAGTTCAAGCCTTGTATTAGCAACAGCAGCAGGTTAAAAACCCACCAGGAAGGGTAAGGTCCAACGATCTCCCAACTTTCAAATAATGTGGTATTTAACACCCTGAGGAAAATGAGAAAGTAATCATTGAACACAAGTTTCCACTTTGCCTTCAAAGGAACTCTAGTTACTGTACAGAAACACAAAGTCACTGATATCCACTAACTACTTCCTCCCTGCCAGGATGGCCTGACCCAGTACTTAGAAGAGTCATCACCTGACCTGTTCCCCTGATGGCACAATATTCATTTTGATTCTAGCTTGCATAGTGTATTTATGTTCCCCTTTCACTTTTGTTGTCATTTCTTCCATTAATTTCCGTTAAGTTTGGGGTTGTGATTCTACCTCTAAGTACTTGCTCAAAAGCCTGTATTATCTTTGAAGCTGATCTTGGTCTTTAAATAGGTGTAAGGAATGCCACTTAATAACCTTACATTGCAAGAAATAGATTAATTAATTCCAGAAGTACTGTTAAGTTTACTTATGCCTAACACAGTGGGAGTTAGAATATACTTACCTAATTACTGCCCTCAAGTGGTTTATAGTCTAGTAGGGGAGCCCCTAGAGGGCTCTTAATTTTGTAAGCCTTCCCCTGGGAAAGAATTGACAATTAAAAGGTATCATTTTGAAGTGATGCCTTGAGATTAGTATCTGAAGAGTTTTTAAAAAAATTATTAGAATATAATGAATGCACTTAGTTTTAAGAGCTTGTACTTGAAGTAATTGGTTCTCTCTGTAATCCACCATCAGGACCAGGATGGAGCAGCCACCTGGGGCAGATCCATGAGTTCTGGTTTCAGTGCTTTGCTCTCATCCTCGGTGTGTCTGCTCCTAAGTCTTTGAAAGTTGACTCACATCTTCTGGACTCATACTGCTGCTACAGAAAAGCAAAGCACCCACAGAATTTTAGAATCACTTTTACTTCCTTGCTTTCATCCTTAGCTTACTGCAGGGTGATTTGGAGATCTAAGGGTGTTGACAAAACTCATCTAAGTGTATTTCCACCATGTGCCACCACAGCACTTTGCTGGGACCATAGAGGACAACAGTGTCAGGCGGAGAACACCTAGTGGCTAATAGGGAGGGATGAAAAGCTCTTGAATTTAAGACACAGACCACTCACACAAGAACAGAAGGTCAATACACAGATAACTTTCCTATAAGAAAGAGTTTAATGAGTGCTTTGATAGAGGTTAAGAAAAGTACTTTGCAAAGTCACAAAAGGAAAAAAAACCCAACTTATTTGCAGTTGGGATAAGAGGTAAAGAAAAAACGAGAATGAATAATAGACATAAACGGGTTCCCCATCCTCAACTTCAGCAGCTGCATTTACAGACCAGAATGAGATGAATAGAGTGTGTCTGTAACTCTGCCACACTAGTTGTCTGTCAAGAACAATGCAAAATAAATATGGATGTTAAAATCCTAAAATTAATAGGATGGAATTGAACTTGACAATTCATTAAAAGTATATTAGTCCATGCTATAGTATTATTCATTCTGGTGGAGGAGAACCAATATTAGGAAATCTAGTAATATAACATATCACACATCCCTAGGCCAAAGTGGTACAAACCTAATTATTTCACTAGCACTGAAAGACATTTGGTAATGTTCAAATTCCCCATTGCTGATGTTTAAAAATTAGAACTCAAAGGACTTAGCATGATTTTTCACCAACTCAAATCAGCAGTTGTCATTATATTTAACAAACACCAGAGTTATTTCCTTTATAATTAGGAACAAACCTCAGCCAGCCAGCATCATGATTATTATTTAACACTATTCCGCAAGTTCTGGATGTTGAGTGTGGTAGAAAGTTAAAGACTTCATTTCAAATACATAGACATTAAATCTCTACAACTATTTTAAAAACAACAAACAATCAAAATTTCCAATAATAGGGAATGGTAAAAAAAAAACTTAGTTTTGATTCTCATTCCAGAAATTATGATGTCATTCCAAGTTGTTAAACATGTTTCAAGAGTTTCTTATGATAGAGAAAAATCCATATCATTTCAACTCCATAAAATAAATAAATATATGCACATACACACAGAAAAAAAAAGAGAATAATACATCTTTGAAAGGAATTAAACAAAGCCAGTATAGACTTCGTTGGTGGGTTAGAGAATTTTATATTTTCTTCTCTACATTCTTCTGTTTTCCAAATCCATGCCAAATAATTAGAAAAAAAATACGTGTTATTTGTAAAAAGGAATAAATTATGATAATGCCTATATTCCTGCCTTGTTTATTACCCCAAGAGGCAGCCATCTCTTTAAACACTAGTTTGCCGGCCAGGGGACAACATGTCTAAACATTAAGGTTCAATTCAGTGGCAGCAAGGGAGAACCCACGCACTCTCCGCTCTTCTATCTCCAGCGTGTTGCAAAACACCTGGAAGTGATATGCTCGCTAGGCATGTTGATTGATTGACTGTGTATTTGTTCAGTAATTAAATAAATAGGTACGTACAAGACAGCTCTGGAATATTAACAATAATTTTATTTCAGAACTGGCTCTGCTTCTTGACATACTACACACTTTGACATTCAGAGAGAATTAAGTTTCATTTGAAGAGAAAGAGGTCCTGTCGAAATAGCAATGATGATTGCATTATGCTATTCATTATAAATTGGCCTTTGCTGGATTAGAGGTTGAGAGCCTTTCTCACCATTACGATTTGCTTGGCTTAATTTGAACAGGGTGTCATGCCGTCGCTGGTGACATGACATTCACATTAATTTCTGAAATGCTGCATCAGAATTCATAGGCTTTGCCATGACAATCAGTGGCACCTCTGAGATGCTGCTCTAAAGTAATGGGATTTCTTTGAAAATTGACTTGGCTGCCTGTAGAGACACTTGGGAAAATACAATCAGTGCACCAAGCAGATATATGTCTTAGGGAGAAGCTTGGCAAGAAAAACAATATCTTAGGAATCTAGACTGGGGAAAGAGAGCTCATTATGCCACCTGGACTCCGAAAAACAGTAAACCCATGAAATGGGGCCTTTGTTTAGCTACAGTATGTTTCTGATGAGGAAACTCCCTTTTGGGAAAACTATTAAAATGGTGATTACAGGATTTTATCCTTTCTTGGGGTCAGGGTTCAGAGTATGTACTTTAATTGCAAATCTCTGGTAACAGAGTTCCAAATCTTTGAGCGAGGATTGATGGGAGGGGCCTGAGGGAGGCTGCTGGGATACTGGAAACATTCCATAGCTTGATCCAGGTGGTGATTATAAGGATTATACAAACATAAAAATTTACAAATGTAAAAATGTATCAAGCTGTATACTGAAGATTTGTGTACTACACTGTACATGTGAAGTACACCTCAATAAAATAAAATGGAAAAAAGTACTCTGTGGGCCAAACACTGCCCATTTGCAATCTCTGGCTTGCATAATTACTATAATATCAGTGGGGTTTTTTTCACACAATACTTTTCATTCAACAAGTGGCTTCTAAGAAAATGGATTTTTTTTCTTTCCCAAATAATAGTTAACCTACAGCATCAAACCTCCTACTGCTGCTCAAATCAAGTGGTGGAGAGTTGGAGGTATGAGAGAACAGAAAGGACCCTTTTCCTTTTCATTCATGTTAGGCTCACTTAACCACTAGATGGCACATCATGCATGTACAAAGCATGCTGGAATAGGTCTATTTTGCCAGAACCTTCTGCCAAAGTGTGGGTCCCATCACAGGAATCACTCGATCTTCGGGTTACACCCTCCCTTCTCAGAATCCTACCAAACAATGAAATGAGGAGGCTCCAGTCTGTGGTACTTTCTTCCTGCATGATTCCCGATTCTTTCCTCCGGCATGATTCCCGATACAAATGGATGCCTGCGGGCCAAAGCTGAGCTCCATGCAATTCCTTGGTGATGTGCAGATGCACCAGTTAGCAACCCAACAGCTCAGCCTTGATGGGTTATTTTAATGGATGTGTAATGAATCATAAGAATTTAATTTGGCTACGCCCTATAGTTGCTTTTGCTCATGCTTTGATAATCACAGAATTCTTATACAGGATATGTGAGGCGGGGGCAAGATGCATACATTCATGAAGAACAGAAAAGTTTACAATCATTTTTTTAAGCAAAGAAAACACAGAGTAGTCTTATTTTAATATGATATTTCAGGCCTTACTCATTCACATTCTAAGCATCAATGTAACTTCTGCTTTCCCCTTAAGCCTCAGAATTCCAGAAGTCTCATAACGTCATATAGCACAGCATAAAAAGATCTTCACTTACACTTCACTTAGAAAAGCTATAACCAATGCTTGATTTCTTCATTCTTATTGTGACTGTCAACTAAAAGTTTAAATTCATTATCTTTAATATGTAAAGTTAGACAAACATTCTCACTTTCAGCCCTACACATCTTACTTTTAAAATAGTCCAGTGATTTAGACGTAGGACCACATAATAGTGATTCAGATGTTAAAGATGACATAGGCCTCTCATTGTGTGAATGAGTTACAGGTGGATGTTTATGATGAGACCATGGCCCCAGGCCACCATAAGCAACCACAAGCTTTGCCTGTGCCTCTTCTCACCTCTACCCCCACCAGAGAGCTTGATCTGAGCCTTGGGTTGTGTGTTTCTGGAATGACCTATGTAAAAACCACAATAATAATTAGACCCACGTCAAATATCCAAAGACAGCCAAGAATGCTTCTCTAGGAAAGAGTCAGGGTCAGGGCCTCACTTTGAGGAGCACTACATAATGCCAGTGAGGGTAAATTAAAAAGTAAAATTTGCTTTGTGGTCAAAATTAGGGTGTTCTTTACTTCAGAGCTTGTGAATGGTCTTGACTTCCTAGACAGACTTCAGTGTATTTCATGTTGCGTGTTTTTCTGGCACATATTTTCATTTGACCTACATAAAACATAAATGAAAAGTAGATTCTACCTAAAGATTATCAGTAATCTACTGGCATGTTTTCCTCAGTTTCAAGTAGATGCTGATAGAAAATTTACTCTGCACAGAAACCATGGGCACTTAACACCTGAAAAAGAAGAGTCAGGAAATAAATTCACTGCCATGAGCA